ATTCTATTATATTCCTCTTTCCAAATGTGGTTTTACTAAGTTTGTTGTTTCCTCTCTCAGATTATTACTCTTCAGGGAAAGTTGTTTTGAGTAGATGTCTAAACCATGAGCCTGTAATTAAACTCATACACCATGATCACATGGCAGTCCAGGAGGAGGTAATGAGAACTTGGGCTGCTTATAATTTTAGAATGGGGCACCTCGAGGGTTGAAGCATGTGTGTAAGCAGTCAGGAGGAGGGAGGAGTGGAAGTGAGGTGATCCTATAAATCTACTCCTCCATTTTGGCTTTTTGGAGGAGTGGAAATTTGCAGCATTTACGGTACTAATAATTATTACAGTTAACAATAAGAAGCAGCGTAACAGTATTTAGGGACGTCTGCTCTGAAATCAAACTGCTTCAATTTTTTTACACTGATTCAACCACTTTTCAATTTCCTGATTTTAAACTTGTCGTCCAATCACTTTGTGGCTCAGTTTTCCCATTTGCGAAATGGGAATGATAATTGTACCCACCTCATAAATATAATAAATATCAATACACATTAATAATTATAATTATTCTTGATGTCTTATGTGCCAAACAAGTCCTGCTCTTTAAATTATCCTGTTGTCAAATAATCTGATAACCATGAAGTTTCAAGACTCAAAATTACTCTTTCACTGCATAGAACAATTAAGAGAATTGCTTTTGTCTTTAGAGTTGAGTTTGAATTGTGCCTCCATCTCTTAATTTTATGATTTACCTTCTTTAATGTTTGATTCCCTCCTCAGAAAATGGAAAAATAGCCCCCTGGGCTAGAAAATGAAGTAATACATATATGTATACAAGAAAAGTGTTGGGTTTTTTTTTTTTTAAACTCTTACTATTATTAAGTAAGGAAGTTTTTGTAGCTTAGTGCTAAGGAATGACACTACCAAACCAAAGGCACATAGTTTGAATCCACCAACTGCTCTGTGGAAGAAAGATGGGCAGTCTCCTTCCCTGTGATTTCCTGCCTCTGAAAACCTGCTGGAGGGTCAGCTATGGGATCCCAACTCTACAGTACTCCACAACAACAGTGTAAAGTAAGTAAATAAGCTTAGGACCCTGAAGAAATATCAGATAACAACCAGAAACCAAACCGAACTCACTGCTGTTGAGTAGATTCCAACTCGTAGGGACCCTGTGGATCAAAATAGAACTGCCCCGCAGAGTTTCCAGGGTTGTAAGCTTTTACAGAGGCAGACTGTTTCCTCTCTCTGCCACAGAGCTGCTGGTGGTTTTGAACTGCAAACTTGTGTCTAGCAACCCAACATTTAAACTGCTTTGACACTAGGTACAACAGCAATTACAAGGTAAGGGGCGTACATTCCATGGGAGAACAAATGGAGCAGGCTAGCATGGCTTTAATCTAGGGCAGTGATTTAGAAATCTTTAGGAACCCAGAGAAATACAAGCTGTCACGTTTCTAAGTAGGCAAATTCTCTAGCCTTTCTTTAGCTAGAGATGAGGACATGTGATGAACTCTTCATCCTGTGGAAGACAGGTTTGTTTGTCTTCCTGCATTAAGACAGTGAGAATATAGTTCTCATATGCACCACAAACCATATTTTTTGTGAGAATGTTAAGGGAGAGGGCTTGAGAGCTATTTTATAGTATGGGATTAAATTGTAGGCAGAGCAGAACCCTTCCATTTGAGTTAAAAATCTGTCCGATAATGTCTTTTTTGTCCAATTGTTTGGGACTAGGAATGAACTCTATCTATTAGCACATGACTTTGAAAATCAGAAATTATGATCTGAGACTAGGTTATTCAAATATCAATATTCAACTTGGGGTAAGTTATTAAACTCCAGCCTCCATTCCTTAACTTAATGTGTGACATATGATTGAGAAATGTTAATAACTATTCTTTTTCTTTTATTTTTTTAGATGAAAAAAGATATATAGTAAAGAATATATAATTTCAACAAATTCTACATATATAATTCAATGACATTTATATTCTTCAGATTGAATAACTGTTCTCAGTATTCTTTTCCAAATTATCCAAACATCATTAATGTAATTCATTTCCCCTCTAAATTTCCATCCATCCTTTTGAGATACTGTTGTCAATTTGATCTCACATAGATAATTTTTCACAACTTGTCTTATTATCACTACTAATAATCTTTATCACAAGCTAATTTGTATAATTTACATACTTAAGTTGGACTAAATGAGTGTATTTAACTTTCATTGCAATACCAAATTTGAGCAGTTCTTGATACATAGAAGAAATTAAATTTAGTAAGATAGTACTTGTACATTTTATTATATACAATCACTTCTGTGCATTGTGTTTTATATAATGAATTACTATTGATCTATTACTTTTATCTCCCTGTCTCTTCAAGTCTCTGTTATACTTAACCTATTTTTTCACTCTCCCCTTTCCCTACCAGTCTCTGCAGTCCTAGTGAACATGAACAAAACAACATATATAAGTAATTTTTAAAAGTATACAATAATGGTATAAGCATTTAAAATAAATTTTATGAATAAATTTTTTTGAAAGTCAGATCATGCACTCTGTATTTTAGTAGATTTAATAATTAATAAAACATTAAAAATAAAAAGATTGTACTTATTAAAAATGTAAGTCTAAGTACATGTTTCTTTTTCAAACTAGTTATTTATTCAGTGCCATTCTATGTCAGATGCAGTGCGAGGTTCTGGGCCACAGTGATAATAAAAGTACACCTTATTTCTAGGAAGCAGATATCATCTGTCAACACCTGCCCCTGATCCTGACTGCCTTTTGGCAGTCTTCCCTTACCCTCTCTTGTGAGTGTATCATCATATTTCATGCTTTCTTTCCAAATATTGGCAGTGTGCATTATCTGACTTCTCATTGGCTCATGATCAGGGCTCCCTACTGTCACTGCAGAGGCATAGTGTTCCCTAGTGTTCCAAAAGTTGTTCCTCACCTTGATAGTTGTTCACATGTGTTTATAATAAGTACGTAACTAGGCTGTGATGCTAGAAGCATGTAGGTACTAAATTCAGCCAGGGAGGAATGTCTGGAGGGTTGAGATGGATGATTCCCTTATTATGAGTCTTTCCTCTGGCAGGTGAACTCTCCTCACAGATGACTAAAGAAATATACCAAAAGCTGTCTGATCACAAACGAATGGATCGAGAAGTTGTGGTACATTCATACAATGGAATACTGCGCAGTACACAGGAGCAATGATTTTGTAAATTACTACCTCACTTGGAAGGGACTGGAGAGCATTATGCTGAGTGAACTAACTCAGTCCCACAGAGACAAATATTGTATAAAATTATTATTGTAGAATGAGTATGAGGATCTGGGGGAGGAGGGTGGAAATAGACGGGTGAGGATGGAAGGGTAGAGTGTTAATCATAAAGTTGCACAATTCAATGGGTGAATGGGGTGAAGGAAATGGGAAGGATCTTTTGTGAAAAACAATGTATTCAAACTATGTAAATAAATCAGCATAAAATTTTAACAAAAGGGAAAAGAAAGAATAGAGACCAAGGAAATAATAGAATTTTTATTTCATTCAAGGGCTTGTGGCTGCAAATGCAGCAACAGTTCTGAGGATGGTTCAGCACAGAGCAGTGGTTTGTTTTGTTTTGTTTTACAGAGGGTCACTATGAGTCAGAACTGACTTGAGGGCACCTAAGGACAGGAGGAAAGGAGCCCTGGTGACACAGTGCCTAGGGAGTTGCAGTGCTAACGCAAAGGCTGCACCTCTCTTGTGGTTCTAACACAGCAGCTGCTTCACAGGACCAAGATGTGCAGTGCCCTCCCTTATGATTTACAGCCGTGGAAACCCAACCCGGGGTCAGCTGTGAGTTAATTCTTACTTGATGGCAGAAAAAGACCCACACAAAGAAAGAAGAATAGCAACAGAGAGAGCAATAGAAACAAGATTGTCTTAAGGAGTGTTAAGATTTTCACAATTATGGAAAAAGTTAAGTGAGAAAATGCTATGACTTAGGAGTTTTGCTAGCCATCTGACTTCACAAAATTAAGCTGATGCATGAATACAGATACTGCAGACAGGAAAGGAATGTCTGCAAGATTATAAAAAAGCAGTTAGAAAACTAGTCAAGCCATTTAAATACACAGTGGCTATTAAAATACTGAAACTATGATAAAGCAGTGTGAAGAAGATACTAAAATATTCACTAAGCGTATACAATACTAACTGCAAAGCAGCAGTACTGCTGAGTCAGTTCTGGCTCCTAATCACTAACCGTTGACTTTCTGACACTGTGAATCTTTTTGGGAGGAGACTGTTCATTATTCTTTCTTGGACTGCCAGCTTTTAGGTTATGAAATGTAAATTATTCATTATACCACCAGGACTCCTTTAAATAGATTTTAAGAAGTACTTATGTTTTCAGTATTTAAGGAAGTGTGTACAATACTGTTACACGCATCTTGAATTACTGTAACTAAAAAAAAAAGTCAATTTATGAGAACAATGAAACCCTCCCCTCTGCAACAACAGGCTCAAGTGTATCAGAAATGATGAAAAAGGCACAAGATAGGACAGGATTCAGGTCTGTGGTTTCTAGGGTCGCTATGAGTCATACTTGACTCAATGGCGCTTAACAACAACAACAACAACAACAACAACAACAACGACAAGAACAACAACAACAAGATTTCTTTTCTGGATTAAGAATTTGAGTGCGTGGGGCAGATCTTTCACAGTTTACACTTAAAAACTAGTTGCTGTAAAATTAATTCTAATTTGTAGCTGCTCCATGAGACAGAGTACTACCCGTAGGTTTTTCAAGGCTGTACCACTTGTCACATCTTTGTCCCATGGGGTAGCTGATGGTTTTGAACTGCCGACCTTCATGTTAGCAGCTGAGCTCTTTAAACATCACACCACCAGAACTTAGCTTTCACTTTTATAGGAACTTTATGAATGATACTCAAATGAATGAATGCCTCTTATCCCTAGGGCAGACACCTCCCTTCTGGAATCGTCATGTTCTCCTGCAACACCAGCACTTTTGCACACTCCACATTTCTCCTCACTGGCTTTCCAGGCCTGGAGGCCTCACACCATTGGGTATCCATCCCCATCAACTTGGTCTGTGTGGTTTCCATCCTGGGAAACAGTATCATCCTTTTCCTGATCCGCACAGACCCCGCCTTGCATGAACCCATGTACATCTTCCTGTCCATGTTGGCAGCGTCTGATCTGGGCCTGTGTGCTTCTACCTTCCCCACTATGGTGCGGCTCTTCTGGCTCGGTGCTCGTGAGCTACCGTTTGACCTCTGTGCAGCACAGATGTTCTTCATTCATGCCTTCACCTATGTGGAATCAGGTGTACTGCTGGCCATGGCCTTCGATCGCATTGTTGCCATCCGGAATCCTCTGCACTATGCCACAATCCTTACCCACTCTGCCATGGCCAAAGTGGGGGCTGCCATTCTAGTGAGGGCTGTCCTACTCAACCTCCCAGCACCCATCCTCCTACGGCGCCTGCTCTTCCCACAAATCAGCATACTCTCCCACTGCTATTGCCTGCACTGTGACCTGGTGGGCCTTGCTTGCTCCGATACCCAGATCAATAGCCTAGTTGGGCTGATTTCCATCCTCCTTTCGCTGGGCCTTGACTCCTCCCTTATCATGCTTTCATATGCACTGATTCTACGGACTGTCCTGAGCATTGCAGCACCCGGGGAGAGGCTCAAGGCACTCAACACGTGTGTCTCACACCTCTGCATTGTTCTTATCTTTTATTTGCCCAAACTGGGGCTATCTGTGTTACACCGAGTAGAGAAGCACAGCTACCCTGCTCTAGCCGTGCTCATGGCTAACCTACACTTCCTGGTCCCTCCCTTCATGAATCCAATTGTCTACTGTATCAAATCGAAACAGATTCGCCAGGGTCTCCTAAAGCGCTTCCAGCAGAAGAGGGTTGATGTCTCTTAGAACACGAGAAGCACCTGGGAGCTTTTGGGGAATGAGAGGACTGCTGAAAAGTTAGTGTTGAGATTTACAAATGATCCTTATTGTTGAATTCTTTGAAGGATATTATTAGTTTCTGTAATTCTGGAAGGGTGGAGGGACGGCGCAGGAGGGGAAGACCCTCTATGAGATGGATTGATTCAGTGACTGGGGTGATCGGGATGGGTGTGTCAGAGGCAGTGCGGTTGGCGCAGGATAGAGCAGGGTTTAGGGCTGTTGTGCATAGGGTTGCTATGAGTCGAAAACGACTCGACGGCACATAACAACAACAACAACAACAACAATTCTAATTAAAGGAGGTCTGGTGGCTCAGTAGTCACTTTTGACTCTTAGTCAAAAGATTGCCATTTTGAACCCATAGCTGCTCTGTGGGAGAATGATGTGGCAGCCTTCTTCCTTTAAGAATTATAGATGCCAACTAGTGGTTTCTGTAAATCCAGTTGTTTGGTTTAAGTGAGTTCAATATCTGTTTGGCCAGACCAGCCTTGAGTGGACCAGACTGGATAACTGTGGCTCAGACCAACCTAAACTAGACGAGACTAATACAGATCAGCCTAAACCAGATCAGAGTGGCTCAGACTGGACTGGACTAGCCCAGCCAAAACTGGATTGAATCAGCCTGAACATGATGAGACTGGCCCAGACCAGCCTAAACAAGCCCAGACAGCACAGCTAAACCAACCCAGATAAGACCAGACAAGCTCAGATCATTCCAGACTGGCTAAAATTGGCCTAGACCAGACCAGACCAGGCCAGACCAGACGGGCCCAGGCTAATCCTGGCTAGTTCAGACTGTTCCAATCCAGGCCAGACTGGATCAGATTGGCCCCAACCAGATCAGACCATACTGGGCTGAATAAGACCATACTGGACAAGATTGGACCACATAAGACCAGACCATACTGACTTTACCACACCAGACCAGACCAGACCACATCAGAGCAGAACAGACCACACCACTAACTGCTGTCAATTCTAACTCATGGAAATCCTCCATCGGGTTCCTGAGATGTAAATCTTTTAGGAGAAGACTGCTTATTTTTCTATTATGGGATGACTGATGGACTCAAACCACTGATGTTTTGGTTAGAAGTGCAAAAGGTAATGTATTATGACTCCAGAGCCCCTTCTTGGAAGATGAGAGGTTTTTAAAAGATAGCTTTTACTATTTAGGAAGGTCTCTCATCAGAGTCAGAAAGCTTGAGTCAAACAAAACACCACGTTTACTAGGCCCCTCTTTTTGTTTCATTCACTATTCCATGTTGTTGTTGTTATGTGCCATCGAGTTGCCCATGGCTCATAGCAACCTTATGTACAGCAGCTCTGAACCCTGCTCTGTCCTGAGCCAGTTTCACTAATTTTGACATACCAACCTCCATCGCCTGAGTTACTGTATCATTTAATCTCATCTGGGATCTTCCTCTCCTATGCTCTCTCTCCACCCTTCAGAGAATGATGTCCTTCTCCAACGACCAGTCTCTTCTAGCCACATGCCTAAAATATGTGAGACAGAGCTCTTAAAATCCTAGCCTACAAGGAGTAACTTGGTTTCACCCTCTCCAAGACCCTCTTCTTAGTCACTGTCCAGCTTTTTGAACCATAACAAGTAATTGTGAAGACGGCCTGGATTAGGTGCACCATATCTCTAGACTGACATCATTGCTCTTCAGCACTCTGGAGAAGTCCCTGACAGCAGATTTTCCCAATACAATTTATCTTTTGATTTACTGACTACTGGTGTTAAGAATGTTGATTGTGGAGCCAAGTAAGCTGTAAATGTTTATAACCTCAATCTCTTCCCCATCTGTCATGGTGCGGCCATTTGGCCCAGTGGTGAAAATTTTTTGTCTTCTTGATGTTGATCTTCAATCCATTTTGAACACTACAGTCCTTGACCTTTTGTAGCAAGTGCTTCAGGTCTTCTTCAGTTTCTGAATATTGTAGGTTGTTGATGAGTCTTCCTCCAATGTTGATGCCACACTCTTCCTCATAAATCCATGCTTCCTGGATGATCTGTTCTGCATATAGATTTAAAAGGTATGGAGACAGGATGCATCCCTGACACACTTCTTTTCTGATTTTGAACCATGCAGTGTTTCCATGGTCTGTTTTGAGGACTGCTTACTGGTCCAAGTATAAGTTTCACATAAGCAAAATCAAGTGTTCTAGGATTCCCATTTTCCTCAAGGTTAGCCACAATTAGTTGTGATCCACACAGTCAAATGCCTTTGCATGGTCAATGAAACACAGACATCCTCCTGGTACTCTTTGCTTTCTGCCAAGATTCACCTGACATTGGTAATAATTCCTCTAGTAATTGAACATGTAACCAAAATGCTTTCATAATAATGGGTGACTGGAATGTAAAAATTGGGAACCAGGAAGAAGGATCAGTAGTTGGAAAACATGGACTTGGTTACAGAAGTGAGGATGTGGATAGATGATAGAATTCTATACAATCAATGATTTCTTTATAGCAAATAACCTTTATAAGAATCAAACTCTGGCTATACATATGTATATCACCAGATGGAATGCACAGGAATCAGACTTATTACATCTATGGAAGGAATTGTTGGAGAAATTGAATATCAGCAGTGAAACCTAGGCCAGGTGCTGATTGTGGAACAGACCATCAACTGCTCATTGCAAGTTCAAATTAAAGCTAAAGAAGGTTAAATCATATCCACAGGAATAAAAATTTGATCTTGAGTCTATCTTCTCTGAATTTAAAAACCATCTCAGGAATAAATTTGAGGCCTTGAACACTGATTAGCTGTGAGAAGATATCAAGAATATCATTCATGAAGAATGCAAAAAGTCATCACAAAGAAGTAAAAAGAAGAAAAGACCAAAATGAATATTTCACTATTCCATATATAAGAAAATTATGATTTGGGAAGCTAGCATGCCTATTACTCTGAGTCTCTCACTTCTCTTGATTGGAAATCTTAAAATGAGATGATAGTATTTGGAACTACAAACAACCTTGGAAAGTGAAAAATAAGCAAAACTAATCAAATAAAAAAAATTTACACAGAATCCTAGATCTAGAAAAATTCCTATGGGCTCTGGTGGCGTAGTGGCAAGAAGCTGCACCGCAATCCCGAAGGCACGCAGCTTGAGCCTACCATCCACTTTGCGGGAGATGGATGGACAATCTCCTCCTATGCAATTAACTGCCTCTAAAAACCTGCCAGAGGGTCGGGTATGGATTAGTCTCAACTCGAAGGTACCCACAACAACTACAACAACAACCACAGAAGTAATAGACTGATTGGTTTAGTAATAGAAGAAAGTTTGAATAGTTTGCTGTCGTGTTTTTTTTAAATTTTTTTAAAAAAATATTATTTTTGTGTGAGTGTACCATCAAATCAAATCTGACTGGTAGAGGAAGAGATTGTCCCTCCTTCCCCGGCAGAGCATCTGGTGGTAGTTTGTTGTTATGTGCCATTGAGTCACTTGAGACCCATAGTGACCCTATGTACAACCGCCCTAAACTCTGCTCTGTCCTGTGCCAATCACACTGTCTCCGATACACCCATCCCGATTACCCCAGTCACTGAATCAATCCACCTCATAGAGGGTCTTCCCCTCTTGTGCCATCCCTACCAAGCATCATGTCCCTCTCCAAGGACCGGTCCCTCCTTACAACATGTCCAAAGTCTGTTAGAGCCTCAGAATCCTTGCCTGCAAGGAGCTTCCCAGTTTAACCCTTTCCAGGATGAATCTGTTTGTTTTCCCAGCAGTCCATGGTACCCTCAATACTCTTCTCCAGCATCAAAGCTCAAAGGCATCAATTCTCCTTCTATCCTCCTTAGTCATTGTCCAACTCTCTGGTGCATAACAAGTGATAGCAAAGACCATGGCCTGTATCAGATGCACCTTAGTCTCCAGCGAGACACCATTGCTCTTCAGTACTTTCAAGAGGTCCCAACAGAAGTTCCCATGGGAATACATCTTTTAATTTCCAGGCTCCTGGTGCCAAGAGTGTTGACTGTGGAGCCAGGCAAACTAAAGCTGTGAACAATCTCAATCTCTTCACCATCCATCCTGATGCTTTCAATTGGCCCAGTGGTGAGAATCTTTGTCTTCTTGACATTGAACCTCAATCTATATTGGAGGCTGCCGTCCTTGACCCTTTGCAGCAAGCGCTTTAGGTCCTCCTCAGTTTCAGCAAGGAGGGTTGTGTCATCTGCATATCACTATCATGTTTGAATAGTAGACACACATTTAAAGACTGCAAGGATCCTCTGACTTCATTATTCTTTCCTTTTCTCAGTAGTTCTGCGCTTGGAGCTTTCCCCCCTCTATCACACTCACAACCATACTACTGAATGTTGCAGGGCTTCCCTGAAGTCAAGTGCTAGAAGAATAGGGGATTTTATGTCTCTGAAACTTTACCTTCAGAGAGCTGACCAGTTGGTCACCAGTTGTTATTGTTAGGTGCTGGCAAATATAATTTATGGTGACCATATGAACAACATATCCGAACCCCATCCTATCCTGTGCCATCTTCACACTTCCTGACACACTAGAGCCCATTGGGGCAGCCTCTGTGTCAATCCACTTGGTCAAAGGCCTTCCTCTCCTTCAACAACCCTCCATCCTTCTAAGCATCATGTCCCTCTCAAAAGAATAGCCCCTCCTAGTAACATACTAGAAGCATGTGAGAGAAAGCCTCATCATCCTTACCTCCAAAGAGCACTCTGGCTGTACTCTCTCTAAGAAATATTTCTTTGTTCTTTTGACAGTCCTTGGGATGTTAAGTGCTTGCCAGTAGGTTTTTTTAAATGTAAATATCTGTATGATAACCCCCCCATTCACACAGCCTTTGATATGAATTGCATGTCACTATAAAGAAAACAAAAATCCTCATCACTGGATCAATAGGAGGCATTATGGTATGTGGTAAAAGGTTGAAGTTGTCAACTATTTAATTTTACTTGGATTCACAATCAACA